TGACTCCTAAGCTAATTGAATTCACACTATATACAGTTTTCAATTCAACTAACTTTAAAAAGGAGGAGGTTATGTAACCGTTTGAGAATTATAAAGAAGTAATTCAAAACTCTTATCACTTATTCACTCATTTTGCATTTTGGAATTTAGCAATCAGGTTTTTCTTTATTTTTGTCGCAGTAGTCGTCTAGTTCAGAACTAAATATCTCGTTAGTATTTGTTGTGAAATATGGGACCGTCCAAATTAGATGCTGGTAGGAGGAAGGTTTAACTCTGAGCCCATTCTGCTCACGTGCGAAGCATTTTGACGTAGTTAAGCGTATTTCACCGAGGACCAAATAAATGCCGCTATTTTTATATCGGCATCTCTCTAGTAGGTATATACTAACTGACGCACGCGACTTTATCTATGGCCTACTATGACTATAGATAGCTGGTAGGTATGTAACAATAATAATAATCTCAGGACAATTCACACAGCGCCATCTAGTCCCAAGTTGAAGCAAGCTGAAGCTTGTGTTATGGGTACTAGATAACTGATACAAATACATAGATATATAGATATTTTCGTAAATATGTATTTACGTATGTACATATTATCATCGAAAACACCCACGGTCTGGGAGTTTTCTACAAACAATCATAGTCGTGAATACAAATGTGCCGTGCGAGGATTCGAACTCGCGACCATCGGAAGCAAAGCGGTGTGCTAAACCGGTAGACCATTTCTAGGTACAGCGGTTTAGTGGATGCACCTCCGATCGATCCCCCGTTCAATTCAAACGAGGATCGATATTACGACGGCCTGAGCCGAGGTTCGAGCCCCTAGCGGTGTCCGTAAAAGTCATATCCGTCAGGCGATGGCCGTTCCATAAGTCCTTCTGAGGATTTGGTGCCAACTGCACTCGCCCCCTATCGTCCGGTGAAGCTGTAAAGGCCACCTGTAGCCAACAGCAGTTTTTCGGACTAGAATAGTCCGAAAAAAAAATACGCATGTATTGTTTTTTATTAAATAAAATGTATGTTCAGCTCTTTAGTCAAGAAATTGTAATATCCAGATCAGAGTAACATTAAAATGAATTATCATGTCAGTTTGCTGTAGTATTAAATAAAATATTTAAACGTACCGCCTTAAAAAGAATTTTATTTTTAAGAAATCCCAGTTTAGATGTACCTATTAAGCTTTTTATATGGAGTTCTGTATACTGTTTTATGTAAAACAAATCCTAACTTTATAACTTCTATGTAGGTTAAACGGAGGTTTCAATGGATATGTACCGGTATATGTACGAGTATGCATGACGTCCGGAAATACATTCTGCGGTATGAAACACACTTTGTGCTACAACTCTGTGCTTTGTAGCTATTATATTATATATTTTATACCAAAAAGCATCGTCATTAAATATTTCCAGAAACTTTAAATTTAATATGTTTTGTTTTATTCAAAATATCCAATTGACTGATGGATACTGAATATGTTTTATTGGTTTTTGAATGCATATCAATTAATTCTGTCACATATCATCATTGCGTTGCCTTTATCCTATTATTTGAGGTCGACGCAGTATGTCACTCTCTTCTACTGATCTCTCTTGGTCGTTATATCTGAGCATACTCTCCTTTTATTCATATCATCTTTCACATAATTCATGCATGTTTTCTGTTTTATATATATAATTATGTGAGAAGAAAAAATAATAATATAAATCTGGAATAGAGGTTGTATTTATTAATTATGTGATAATATAAATCAATTTGGAAAGGAACACATAACACTATTTATAATATTACACTTATAAAAATTCTGGCTACTTCGCGGTACTTCGACTTTTTTTAAATAAAAAATAGTCTATGTCCGTATTCGTGATGCAATCTGACGGGAAGGTTCACGTCAATATTCATTAAAATTGGTTCAGCAATTTGTTTTTCTATTTATTATACAATATATAAAAAAAATCAAATGTAGTTAATTGTTAGTGTATTATTACTGAAATATGTACACATTGTGTTTGATACTACAAATTCTACATATATATATGTAAAAGAGACAAACACAGCAAACCAAATCAAACTAATAATAAATATTAAGAATTAACGAATAGATTTATTTGTTCACTAGTTGTGCCTGCAGTTTGTAGCCGCATAGCCTATGTGTTATTCTAATTATAAGCTGTAAAGTTTCATCATAAAATCCGTTCAGTTGTTTTTTGCTTGAAAGAGTAACTAACATCCATCCATCCACTTATCCATACTCCCAAATTTATGCATTTATAATATTAGTAACTTGAAAATAGTACTATTTGTTAATAAAATATACTAAAATCATAGTAATATTTTGGTTATCATTACAGTGTATTTGTATTATATTATCCAAGTCAACCATGCCACTATGCAATAAATTTGCAAGAAAGCTTGCGCTGTGGCAATTATAAAATGCAAATTGCCACAGCAAATACAAACTGGACTGAACTGTTATTAAGTTTAGGTAGTAGGTAAGATATATATTACTAACTGTTTACTGTGAATTTCAGGACTCTTTTTAAACGAAAAATAACCTATGTCCACCCACAGGATTTATTTATCTTTAAGTCAAATTCCATTACCACACGTTCAGCCATTTAGTCGGGAATGGTATAACAGATTGACAGACAAATTTCGTGTTTATACGGTTATTTTATAACTATGTTTAGCTAAAACTCCGTAGTCGAGGCGAGACGCTGTAACAAACACGTTACAGCATCCCGCCTCGCATACAATGTTGTAACGAACTTGCCCTGAAGAAGACTTCCGGATGAAGTTGAAACAAGTATCGCGAATTATATATAGTTTATTAAATTCCCGTACATAGTTATTAAAATATTAATGCAAAATTTATATTAGTATTAAAAAAATATTTACATAAATCGAATAAAAATGGGTCTTCCTAAGTAATAACAAATCTAAGTTTAAATCAACCATAATAATATTGTCCATCAAATCCTGTAAACCCTAATCAAAACTAAAGCAAACCGAGTATAAATTAAAAATAATTCAATCCCAACTAAACTAGTTACGTGACTGACAAATTAAATGCCTTTGATAACAACTGTGACCACAACCGCTATTTTGGATGTTTCGGTCGGCTCAGTAGGTACATATACCTATATATATATATATATATATATATATATATATATATATATATGAGTATATATTTATTTATTGACGATACAACAATTGGTGGTACACATACCGATAATAAATACTCTATGATCAACCTATTATGCATACAAATTTAGAATTATGAGATGAAGCACATAAATTGAAATGTTTCAATTCTAAATTGTTAGATTACATAATAATTATACATGTTAATACTTCCTTCTAGTTTGCATCTTTGAGGAAACAGTCAATCGTGTAGTATGTTTTAGTGGTTTTAGTATGGTCTACTAATTGGGAAACCTACTTTTGAATAATTTCAAGTAATTCATTTCGTTAAGAGATTTTGGTAGATTATATAGAAGGCATATAATGTCGTTCTATGTATTTTTGAATAAATTTAGTAGTCGTATGTAATGTTATATTATCTCTGGTTACTACTACTATAAAATTACAAAAAAATAACAGATACAGTAGTATCAGTTATTTTATATATATTTTTTTATTCATCATATTGTACATTTGTACTAGCGATATTTCTATATGATAAAATTATACATAACTATTACTTGCAACTTCATCTGCCAGTTTTGGAATAATAGATATAATAATGTTCATATGAAATATTAAAATCCATTCAGCAACAAACAGACAGACACACATTTTCGTATTTATAATATTAATATATGTAGATGTAAAGGTATATTATAAACGAAATTAAACCAAATGAATACAAATTTAATTAGGTCGTGTCTAAAACACACGGATTAGCAATATTTAATGAACTGATCAGGTGAATCGTATAATTTCTAATTACTTGTATCATTTCAATTTAGTTATTTACGTATTACGAGGTACGTCATTATTACATATAGGAATATAATTAACTTATGGGCAGTAAATTATAGACCCTATTTCACGGCTTTACTGTTACATAATATGCATACATTATATATGTTAACCTATCTCTTGAAGAACTCCATTTATTGCTGAAAACTGTATTAAAATCCGCAGCTTAAATTAAAATATCTGAGGACAAATGGCGGCGGAGACTTTGTCCCCATATCTTTAAACTAAAAAAGATGATAGAATATGTAAACAATATATTAAAGTAAACTCATTAAATTTATACGTTGTTCACAGGTTTTTGTCGTTTAATAGCGACTGCTGTAGTGTTTATTTTTTAGATAAGTATACATGTATACTGCTACGTAACGAGTACAATCGTTTCTCTATTTGCGAAAGCGTAATTTTCTGCTCTAGATGGATACAGCGTGACAGACAACCTGAAAACGAGACCCTCTAGACTATACAGATATCTCGGAACAGATGCTCACCTAAAGTATCGAAGTGTTGTGCAAAAGAACTCAACGAATTTACCGAAGTACCTAATATCTATTTTAGGAGAATAACAATTTTGTTGAAAATCCATGAGTAACAAAATCCGTAAGCCATAGACTTACGGATTATGCGCAACCGAAGGAGAATGAAGCCCAAGTGACTATGAGATTTTTGGTATCAAATCTAATAGTATTCATATTACAATTTTAGCATTAGGAAATAATATTACGGTATATAGTATTAGCAAATTGTCAAATATGTGTATTAGAATGTGTTTTTATTTATTATTCATTACTTATATATTCACTATCAAATATTCTCCGATATAGGTTTGTAGTATCGTTTCTCAACTTACAGTTTTATACTATGCCAGTTCAAGGTGCCATAATATTAAAAAGAAAATTTATTTGATTTACAGTTAATTTATGATATCATTGCAATAAATTACAATATTTGCTTATTTGTTACTCGCTAGTACACAAGTAAGATAATTGTAATAATGAATCATAGGTACTTACGTGTTGTTAGCGGACGATAGCCGCCGGTGTAGGCTGCGCAGCGACATGGCGTACCCCTAGCAGGGCGGGCTGCCGCTTCCCTTGCCGCGCGGCCGGCGCAGCGCGCGCGCTCCGAAGAACGCGCCCTCCTCGTTGCAGGACTGCGAGCGCTGCGAAGCCAACATGCCGGCCGCGCGGCCCAACGCGTGCAGCGGCCGCACGCGCGCGCGCCTGCCCCACCCGCACCCGGCCACCACCTCAATCTTGCCGGCCGCGCGCGCACACCCGCGCCTCGATCTCACGCCGCCTGACGGCCGATCCTCACCACCACGCCACGCATCGAATGCAATCCACGCTGAGAACACGGCCACGCTACACCCGCCGCAACAATGCACCGCGCTTGCTACTCTCGCGCCTCCACGCTCCACATACAACTTGGCACTTGTGTACACTAACTAACTTACTCTACTAACTAACGTAATTGAAGTATCGATTGAAGGCGCTTAGTCGTTTACTTGATTTGTTTTCGATTTGTCTAATTTTAAAATTATTATTGTTGTGTGCTTATCTTCGTGCCTCCGGTTGGAGTATCTGAAACAAATTAGAAATTGTAATTAGATCGCCGACTCGTTAGTCTTTGAATTGGAAGGAAATTGGAATTGATCGACCCCGCCATAATCGAATCACTGTGTCGAAATTAATTTGGGTATAACGCAAACAAGTGTCCGACGATACTAATTATACGCTATTTCATATTACGGTACAACTAGGTAATACAACGAACAATAATTAATTTATTTTCGGGCTTGTCATAATATATACACGTTTGTTTGAGTCACGGAATGATTTTTGTTTTGAATGTAATTAGAGTGGCCAGGGCGCGGAGGAAGTTTTAATGAAACGGTCAGCCGGGGGTCCGGTTCAGTTAATCCTTTGAAAGCTTCTAATCCCCACACTTCGACATAGGCACAACACGAGCACAGAAAAGATTTCCAACATTGTTGCCAGTAACATGCTGAAGTAGGTCAAATGTGGTCAGTATTAGTGGTCATAGCGCAGATAAAATTATTTTCAACGGCACAGCTTTCGTTCAACTTTTTAACTTCATTACTGATTACATGTTTAATATAATACAATTAATCTGTGAGGACAGACAACTGTATAAAAGATCCAATCTAAAATATGACATGGCATATATTCGCCAAACCACGGAGTAAACCTTCAAACAAAAAACCTGATTTTGGTAGTCAAATCAGATTTCATTTAGACTACATTAGCATTTTGAAGCATTCGTTTTGTCCTATAATTAAAAGAATTACTTTATCTTATATATTTCATGTAAATATTGTAAAAAAATATACACGGGCTATGGCAAGTGTTTTCTCAGGCAGATTGTATGCATGAATGTCAGTAGAGTTTCACCTACTTCATATGCTGGTTGATTTATTTTAACGTCCCTATTTACGTGAAGCTAGTGATCTGTGAAGAGAATTGTCAATAACACTACTAAAACCATCCCCAAATAAAAGAGGAACTTATACGTTCCGTTTTATTTTCCCGTCCTATTTCCTGTTGGTCATAATGGCACAGATTATAGCACTGCTACAGCAATAGTCGTAAACGACATTTTAGTTAATAATAGCCTTAAAGTATATATAAAAAAAGTAAATATATAATACTGTGATGAAGTATAATATACAATATACAATCCTATACAAATGGATACTAATATTATAAATGAATGCTAAAGTATGGTCTTTACCTTTTCAGAAGAAAACTAGCATAGACAATCTTCTATTAAAAAAAAAATCAATCAAAATCTCGAGTAACTAGAACCTACCTATTAAAACATATGCTTTAAAAAAACAAATTTAAATATACTCGTATTTAGATAATACATATAAATGAAAAAATATAAATTTGGCTTGGCCACCCTTATCTCTTAGGGGATAGAAAATTGATAACAACCTATTCTCAGACATACCTCGTATACATAGAAACTTTCATAAAAATCGGTAAAGCCGTATCAAAGAAGTATGGCAATTAAAACTGTAACACGAGAATTATATATATTAAATAAATTACTACTGCTTTCGTATAAAATTGTTATTTTCAAACACTCCTGAAATATACTGTTTAATGGTCTGATTCATGGAACTCTTTAAGGGTATTTATCGTTTTAAACTGGATTGTCGGGACCCGGCTCATAAAACAGGATCATTTTAATGTAATAACGTTGGCTGACAAATTTTGTTGGCACTTTAGAATACTTCTTATGACATCCCTTTAGGATCGCACCGTCAATCACTGAAATCCATACTAATATTATAAATATAAAAATGTATCTGTCTGGCTATTTTTACCATGTCACAAATTCAAGATAAAACCTCAGAATGGGTTTTAATGAAAGAGGTGAAAATAGACTGGTATTACGAGGAGGGTTATATGTTATATTTTATATACAAATACCAAATGTGTGTAATAGCGGCTAACATATATAAAGTATATATTATATACAATAAAAAGTGTTTGTTACATTTACATACGTGTAATATTTAACTCATTGGCGTTTGAGCCTCAATAGGCCATATTTTAAAGATCTGGAGTTTCTTTGAGTATTAAATACTACTTCATTATGTTATATACATATATAACATAATGAAGTAATATTTAATAATATATATATATATATATCCTTATATATACTATGATCAATAAGAGTGGAGCCTAAGTAAAAATTAGAAGCAGACTAAGTAGTAAAGAGAAAGATTTTTTCTAATGGATAAAGCTATGAAAAATAAGATTTCAAAATATGATTCAAATATAGAAACTTTACATTCACTGACTTAAAATGGTAGTAAATTTATAATAAAAACGAGATCCCAAACATTGCATCCGTGCGTAACCGGGGGTAAATGGTAGTACCTAATAAAGCCGTACTGCGCAGGTACATATATATACACGTGTGTATCTCTTAAACCGTATAGCTAACGTATGTTCGTCCGTAATTAATCTACTCTTCCATGTAATAGGATAATTCCTCATCCACATCCTCCGATATGTAATATAGAAATTGAAATTCACTCATGTTTTTACCTCAGACGTCTGTATTTCGAGCGCTTGCAGAATTACTTATCGTTTTCCTTTAATATTATGGAGATGTATTTCATATATCTACATGAAAGCATATTGTGACAAATCATGAATAATTTTATGTGATAGCGAATTCTGTTATCTTCTTCTATATCTATATGTTCTTCTATCTTCTATACTTATAATAAATCTGTAGAGAGGTCAACTCTGTACATGAAATATATTTCCAAAATAACTATCAGGGGGTCATTAGCGATCGATACTGATGCCAAAAATGCAATCAGTAAAATTTTTGTCTGTCTGTCTGTCTGTATGTTCGTTATAGAAACAAAAACTACTCGACGGATTTTAACGAAACTTGGTACAATTATTCTTCATACTCCTTATAGTATACTTTTCATCAAGCTACGATTAATAGGTGCAGAGCAGTGAAGGGAAATGTTAGGAAAACACATCAAAACCACTGAACTGTGAGGAAGGACATGGCTACTTATTTTACGAAAAACGACGGAAATGCAGATGAAGTCGCAGGCAACAGCTAGTTATTAATATATATACAGATTATATTATGCTCCATATAAAACAGTACCTGTTACCCGCGACTTTGTCTGTTTTTTTTTATACAGAAGATATAGCCTACGTCCTTCCTCGCGATACAATACGTATTCAGTTGTTTAGTGTTAGACGTAAATAGGTAAACAAAATAATAATATTATAAAAATATTTCAGAACAATTCACATAGGCCCAAATTAAGTACAACTTTTATTATCACTACTACTACTACTACTTGTTTATATAAATACTTATATACATTTTTTACAGTTGATTTATGAATTGTCAGAAAATTAAAGACACTGTTTTTTATTTTTTTTAATTATTTCAACAAGCAGTGGTCCGGGCCCTTATTAATTTGTTTTATTTGTATTAATTTCATAAGATTTTTATTAACTATTTATGGTATTTCAAAGTAAATAAATTAATCTAAAATAAAACGTAATAAATTATTCTGAATGATGAATACTAAAATGAATAATAAATTTAAAAATAAAATAAAAACAAAACTAATTATTAAAAAAGGTATTATATTATGTATATATATTAGGTATTAAAATATATTGTTTTATATTGTGACTAATAGTCCACCTTACAATGAAAACTCTCTCTGAAAAATAGAGAGCAAGCTCAGATATACCGGCCGATAAGGATCAATAGATAAAGATGACATACTGCATATAGTCCAAATAATGGGATAAAGGCAAAACAATGAAGGGCAGACCTATAATATATAACATAAAATCCCTTATAAATAATAATAATGACGATGATGTGTCCAGTTGTTTATTCTCCGCTAGAAGTTAATATTAAACTATATTTACAACACTTCAGTTTTGTGCCGTAGACCTTTCGCTTATCATAAAAATAACTTTAACCCTTTGTCCAATCTTTTGCATAATATTATTATCAAGGGTTCAAGGGCATACTACTATAATTAAACTCACTACTACTACTCACACTAGTAATTAAACTCATTGCGTATAGTATAACACATAAATGTTTATGTATAAAACGAGACACAATACGAGATCACACATCTCAAGAGAGCCCGTAGAAGTAAAGAAAAGTGAACGTGTTATTTTAGCCATCAGATAAATTGGACATGAATAAAAAAATAGATCCAATGAAAATATTTTTATTCAAATTGATCTATTATAGACAAGTCAAATCTACCGTCCGTTACGAATATAAATGTTATGGATTTGTTATTATATCCAATAGGTGATCTGTCTTATATGTTACTTTGCCAATGACAAGTAAATAAAACAGTAAATTGAAACTTTACGATGATCTTGGACGATTGCAAAGGACAACCAGATAATTGAAATCTAAAAATAAAAATGAAAAACCATTCGTAGTCAACACAGCCATTTTTAAGATCATTACAAAAAACCTTAGTCCATTTAAGATATTTTAAGACAAACGGATACTCAAACGGTAATGGATAATGTAGGTATAACATATTTTTTCTGGTTGAAACTGAAAGATAAATGCATAAATGAAATGAAAATAGAGATTTTATT